TTCGTCGCGTGACGGCCGCAACTCATGATGACCCGCCTTCAGTTGAATGTCCTTCTTCAAATGCGGTAGCTTGTACACATTGTCGCCGTCCATCTTCATTTACTCCTCCGAAACCTTCTGTAAAGTCATGAAGGTCTTGTCCGAAATGGCCCACTTCAGATTCTTGAACGCTCCTTCAACGCACTGAATGAGGTCATCGATTGATCGAGCAGTAGTCTGATGCTGCAAGCACTGGAAGGCATTATAAAAAAGGAATCCAATGAAGTCCGGGCTTTGCGCTGGCTGGTCCGTGAGCTGGATGTTTCAACCGTTCATCTGACCCGCCGCCTTCACGGCATCCTCCGCCACATGCGGTGTTGCATTGTCTTGTCGCGCAAAAATGGGTCTTCCACGACGATCAGGCCACTTGGCTTGGATTGCCGGAAACACCTTGTCAATCAGGTAGTTGCGGTAAATGGGCTTGGTCACGCTCATAAGAACAGTCACAGGAGTGCCGCGGTCTCGATTCTTGCACTTCAGCTTTGCCAACTTAGTCTCAACGAATGGCCACAAACCAACCTTGCCATCCCACATTGCATGACGTTTGCTGTCATGTCGAGGACGAGCAACAACACACAAGAGCATGACCTTAGTGATATGCCGTTTTGACTGGGCTTTACGTTGTGGAACGGCCTCGTCGTGGCAAAGATAGAATCGACGGTTGACTTGTGTGATGTAAAACCACTTCTCGTCGATATGAACAATGTCCATCATGTCATGCCAACGGCGAGTTCCGAGCTGACCAGCACGCACGAATGACTTGGCAAACTTGTATCGTGCAAGGCGATGATTTTGCGTCAACATAGACTTGAGCCGACTCGTTGTTCGACGAAGGTTCTTAGCTTTGAGGAGACGCCAAAGAGTTGTCTTCGGGATGCCCATTGCCGATGCCAATGAGCGAAAGTTGCACCGAAGGTGGTGGGGGACACTCGAAACATTGTCGCGAGCACCTTCGACTGAGTACTTGCGTGTGCCTGCAATCCGTCCGGCCATCTTGGAAGCAACCTTGGCACACCCGGTAAGAGCAGCTGACGTGCACCCTCGTGTCCAGATCCGAGAGATTGTTGCCTGGCTAACGTTAAAGGTGCGCATGAGCTCCTTCATCTCGCCGTGCCCAACACGGCCTTCTTCTTTGAACTGCAGCAGTCAATGGTAAACCGCCGACCTTTGGTCGTCGGTAAGGTTACGACCGGTCGTGGGGCGCGGCAGTTGTTTTCCGTAGCGAGCCTTCAAGGACGTTTTTTGCAATTTTGAATGGTGCTAGCAATATCTACGCACCAAGCCAAGCGTTTGCACTTGGTTGAAGGCAAATGGATAAGAAATGACGAAGTTACGAAGTTTCAATGAATTTTGTCGTTTGTAGCCAACCGTAGCCAGTCTATACCTCGGGTGTTATAGGGAATTAAATTGTTCAGAAAATAGCTGGCTGTTGAGCTTGTTATGGCTATCTTTCCCGCCATTTTGGGTGTCTTAATGCGCTCTCTAGCCCAAGTTGAGGCTGTTGACGCAAATTCATGCAAATGTACTGGAACGGAGGAAGTAGTAGATATGACGATTTGAAATTCATCATCATTAAAATAATGAGTCAAAAGGTTTCGTACGCTTCCACGAAATCGACCACACAGTTTGTATTATTCAAAGATTAGTACTTGGTTGCACCACCCTTGTTGGCAATCGCCATGCTCAATCGCTTGGGCATGCTAGAGATCAATTGTGCATTTTTTACTTCAATGCGAACACCATCCGCTTTTTTGTTCTTTTTTGAAAGAAACGGTTTGTGACGAGCCGCACGCCCACGAAAGCCTTTTTCCTGAATACGCCGGCGTATTGTAGAGTTCGAAACGTCTTTTTCGAGAAAGGCTTGAAACGTTTCACGCAAAGAGTTGACACTTATACGTCAATTTTGTTGAACCGAGCGGATTATAATACGGTCCTCGTGTTCTGTGGTAACACGTGGGCGACCAGAGCGAGGCCGAGTTGCAGTTGTTCTATGGGTTTTGTAGCCTTTAACAATCGACTGAACGGTTGCTTTTCTGAGGCCCAAATATTTTTCAATTTTTCCAAGGCCCACAGCCCATTAATGTGGCTTGTAGCAACAAAATCTCGCAATTCATGTGAGTGGTGCTTCTTTCCAGGTTTAGATCGTTCATCAGTTGGATTCGCCAACATAGCACACAACGAAACTATGGAGTCTTCAGCGCAAAACAAGTTGTGACTTACCGCGATGAAATCGGGCATGTATTCAATGTTTGGCGCTAATTTTTGTAAAATCGTATGAAAAATTTTGACGTGGATAATTTGGGGTATCGATGTTTGAGTCAATTTTTCACGACGATATTTTGCGCCAATCATGCCGGACAATTATTCAAACTTCCTTAGTCATTGCTGGCTATCTCGAGTTCAAATTTCCTCAACGAATGCAAATTTCTGCTGTCGAAATGAGACACTGAAAAAAAATTGTCCGCCGTATGAAAACTTTTGACACTCACTGTGCGTAATATCACACAAATGAACAACGTCGATTTCGCAGGAACATGTATTGTGTAGATCCGCATGGCATTACATGACGATGGTGTAGCGCAGCTCGCCTGCTCTGCAGGTGGCCTGGGTTCGACTCCCAGCACTATCTGTGGATGAAAAAAATGTTTGCGAATGTGTTGTGTTTGTGCTGAACTCTGCGATTCCGCGCATGCTGCCCGCCGCGACCAAGTGCATTGGTGTCTGAGCTCGCAAGGCACATGCGTTGGGGTTTATCTGACTGTATTTTGCGTATTACGGTGTGCGAAATTGTGCAGTTTGTTGAGTGTCGTCTTCGCTCTCGTTGTCGTTCTTGCCTATTGCGTCTTCGTCCATGGTGTCGACAGCGCTGATTGGAGTACAGTCCGCGAAAAAATTATATGCGCACATTGAAATCTTCAGTAAATCGCGATTAATGTCAGATTAATAATACACCATGGCTTCGGAGATTGTTTCCCATGAAGGGTATACCTCCAAGTCAAATTGCTACAGTACCTACCATACATGCGTTGAGCTTGAATTGCCAACATATAGGAGTATGGTTGAATTGACCCAGTCTGAGACATCGGAAATATTTATATGCGCACTGCGTTTTGAATTTTCTAAATGTCGAAAGACGCATTCAAAATAGAACACGATTGCCCAATGAAAAGGCAACGTTGTGGCGCGAATCATGACAAAATTGGTCAACTGCGTATCATGCCAAGGGGTCCCAAGCTCATAGGGATCGAAATGGGCCAATTTTTGGCCTGGAAGCACGAGAAGATATCCAATCGTGAGATTGGACGTCGGCTGAAACGACCTGAGTCATTAGTGCGTTCGTACCTGAAGTCCCCAGGCACGTACGGTACGAAGAAACGGTCGGGAAGGCTAGTGAAGTATACGGTTGGCCGCGTTGAAAACTTTCAAATGAGGCGCCTGCCCGGACTGAAGGCCGTGACATCTCCTCACTCCTGTTGTGTCGTTTGCATGTTGCGCGGTTGTGATTTGTGCCAAAGCAACTACGACACTTGTATGTTGTCGCAGACGGCTCTTCGGCACGACTGGGGATACGGCGTCTGTATGGTCTACCAGCTTGACGGTAGACCGGTGGCGGTTTGATTATGGCATTCGGCACAATAGTGCATTGATATATTCGGTCACTCACAACAACAAAAATATCTGGTGAGTTGTTTTGAACAACAATTTACTTCGACATTGCGCAATATCGATTAGAAAAACCGTAGACTGTTCTCACGAAATGGACTAACACCCCTCGCGATTGGTTTGCCAGCAGCGAAAACGCTGGCCTGTAGTATTTGTCCAGGCCATTGTATGACTCGCTCAGGAGGAATCTGAACAATATAGACATCAATACGAACAAAAA